GAATTGATGTCTCTGATCCCCTAAGTTTGATACACTGAGCAGGTCCCCTCCTCATGGGGAGCATCGATTGTCGCACCAATCATAGACTGATCCCGATAGCGTCAAAGCTGTTGGCGTCCGTCATTCTCTGCCGATTGTACAAAACACGAAGAACTGACCCGCGAGTAACAGGTTGGGTTTTGCGCTGGTCGTGGATGCATCGATCGAATCTTCACCCTCCGACAGCTGTTAGAGCACCGTCATGCCTATCAAAGACCAACGATCACTGTATTCTTAGACATCCGCTCGGCCTTCAACTCTGTCGACAGGATTGCACTATGGAACCGTTTTTTGAGGAATGAAGTACCTGAGAAGTGTGTCGATCCTTAAAGATTTGTATCGTCAGACCTCAGGTCGCGTTGGGGCCTAGGGCCAACTTTCACCACACGTTGCCACCTCCATTGGAGTTCGACAAGGTTGCCTTATATACCCATTCCTTTCCAACACTGTCATAGAGGATTTTCGACAGAATGCTTTGTCCAGTCTAGCAAACTGTGAAATTGAACTATTCCGAGGGAACGGAGTTTTTTATTTAGAATATGCTGATGGCATCGCCTTGCTGGATGACAACACACAGACAGTCCAACACACATTGAACCGCTTGGCGATCAAGGTTTCCAAGTACGTTACGTGCTTTGCACCATTCAAGTGCGAAGTGCTTGCTCAAGACTGGCAGGAGTCTGTGATGCATTCACCCTCTGTGGTGATCAGCTGTGTTTGAGAACTTTAAGTACCTCGGGAGCTTGATCGTAGTTAGTGGTGGTGGGAGGAGATCACGTTACGAATAACGAAAGCGACACCTGTGGCACCGCCATGACATCCAACTGTCCCTTAAGAGAAGGGTTTGCATCGTCGCAGTTCGTCGCGTTCTCCTTTACGGTTGAGAGACCTGGCCCCTCTGTGTTGAAGATGTTAGTCGAATTTCCGCATTCGACCACCGATGTCTCCGAAGGATTGCCCATGTCTAGCGGAAACATCCGGTGAGCAATGACGAAGTTTGTTGTCGGGTGTCACCTCGGTTGGTGATGGAACGTTTGCAAACAAATAGCCAATCTCGGCCAACGGCCGAAATGGAATTCAGTTCACCCGAGCTACGAGAACCGATTTTCAGTATTTTATCAATATTCGTTCTTTAAAAGAGTTAATCACGCTACACCACTTGGTCACGTTTTGCGTACGCCTGTTCATCATCTACCTTTCTGCGCTCTCCTTGCACGTGCTGAGCAAGGCTGGAAGAAGCGCCGCGGCGGTTAAACCATGACGTGGCGAAGAGGTATGAAGAAGCTGGCTTCAGCTTTGGCCTCGATTGGTGCAGCCCATGTTCCAAGTTGGGGCACAAGGGATGAGAATTACTGTTGGTCAGAGATGCTGAGAGACATGGCCCATAATAGAAATTAGTGGCGCAAATGCTGCCTGCAGTAATTCCGTACCCCATAAAAAAAACAATAAAACAAAACACGAAAAAACAACAGAAGTATACGATGAAACAAACAAATTGTTGTTCTCGTTATTCACATTAACTGTCTGACCCTCTTCTACTCTGCTATATATCCAAACCTCCCGGGTTCTGTTACTCTTATTTCGCTGGCAACAAGCTTGCTCGCAAGGCGTGATAGCTCAAGGTAAGAGACTACAGTAGTGTCATTGGTTATTCCAGTTCGTCGGCGGTACATGCAATCTCAAGTTGGTGAAGCTGATCTTATTGCGTTCTGGAGGATGGAAATATCTGAAGCGGCGGACAGAACGATGAACAAAACTGAAATATCTGACGAAACCCTCAGAGGTTCCGGAAAAAACGCCCCAAAACATTGGGGGATATTTTGGTTGACTGTGCTTCTCGATGCGAAGCATAAACGCCACAATCATATCAGATACAGCGATTCAGTTTCAGCTTTTACAACCATTAACCATGCATGCACTTTCGTGCGCCGGTTTTGGTTGCCCATTTGGATAAAAGAGCAAAATGAAGATTGAAATGTCGAAGCAAATTCAAGCGGAAGATGGGGAATACATTTAGAGTGGTGTTAGGAGAATAACGAGTGGATGCACGAGTGCCACTGTTTGCGACCCCCAGCCATATCACTCAGTGTAGCTAACCATCGGCGACCATCATCCCG